CACCATCAACTTCGACGACCATATAACACCAACATAAAGCAAAATGGGCATGATGAGCGAATTTTTCTACGACTTCAAATTAATGCATGTCAACATTTACGATAAAGACGGGATTGCTTTGTTCGATTGTTTGGGGACAGAAGATGTTTCGAGTTTCTCCTCTGATTTGTGGTGTGGGTCTTGTTGTTTGTTTATTCTCAGCTGCCTCCAAACGTTGGATGGAGTTTTATGGGGAGCTTTTTATTTCATGTCGCAAATACGCTCGATATTCCCAGCCGCGAGGCGACCGCAGTATTAATTTTCTATAATTTTTTAAGCTGGTTGGACTAGAACTCGACTCCTGACCTTTCGAATGTCAATTGTACGTACTGCTAACCACTTATCCAGACTGTTGAAAGCAGAAGTAAAAGCTGCATACACTTGACAATGACTTTAACTTTTCTACACAGCTCGGCAACTAGTATTCTTTTCTTCAGAATAACGTTAAAAAAACAGCTCGTAAAGAGTCCACCTAGGTGAAACCTCTTTTCATGTTGAACGGCTTGGTGAGGTTCTTGGCGGTTTTGATGGTTTTTTACAGAGGTGGTATGTAGCGATCACATATGTAGATCTTTCCTATGATTTGGTGCAGTTCTAAGGCCCGATCAGCTCATTGACCGTGCATCAAACCAGATAGGTCCTTAGATCGATATCAGACGCAGCCTGTAGGGTCGGCCTTTTCATTGATTTGGCAGTTTTTACAAAGAATCGAATGCGTGAACATTGTTAGCTCTTCGCAGAGCCTGGTAAGGCGTTACCAATCGCTTTGGTCAACTGGATGCCTAAGTAAATCCATATATTGTTCAAGAACTTTATGCATCGTCGGCTCTCTTTCCTACTAAATCCACTGACTAACGCGTGTAGACTTATTTTTATATTTTATAACGACGTTCCTTCTTCTTAGCGGAGATAATGACGTGATTGGGCGATGGTTTTTGAAAGTGGCACTGCGTCAAGGGATTTAATTGCGTTTGTTTTTTTTTATAGATTAAAATCTATTAAAATCTTAAGCACTACTCAGTAGAATTAAACGTCATTGACTACTTTTATTCAAGGTATGTGGCTTTGAGTCATTGCGAGATGTGAATTAAAATTCAAAAAATTAAAATTAAAAAAATAAAAATTAAAAAAATAAAAATTAAAAAAATAAAAATTAAAAAAATAAAAATTAAAAAAAAAAAAATTAAAAAAAAAAAATTTAAAAAAAAAAATTAAAAAATTAAAAATTAAAATTAATAAAAATAAAAATTAAAAAAAATTTAATTACAATTAAAAAATTAAAATAAAGAAATAAAATAATAAAACATATTTTGGCATTTACTCTCCTGCTTTCGATAATATATATTTTATTTATTTATATTATTTTAGCTAAGTTTTGGCACTTTTAATTAATTATTTTTCTTGTATCTGCGAAAAGTCCAATCAAATCAAGCTGAAATTTTATTCGAAATTCAATTAATTCGTCTATAAACTATAACGTTGCACGCGTTTTCGCGAAATCTCTATGTAAAGATTTCTTTAAGCAATTGTTAACTAAAAATAACTACAAGTGTTTTGTTTCCATTATTTAGCTAAAATTATATACATAAGTATGTACATATTCCGTCAGAAAAAAAAAACAAAACAAAGCTAATCTTCTAAATCAAAGTTGAATATCCTCAAGAGGTTTCGTAATCAATCACTTATCGTTTTAATTTGTACCATACATACTAATGTCCATATATATGTATGTATGTATATGTATGAATGTTTCTGTATGCTTACAGATAAGTTGATAGCAAAACATTTGTCAGCTTGAAGCTAACAATCAACGAGCAAATCAACAATTGCAGCGTAAACATAAACATGCTTGTGAGAAAGACACCACAACGCCAAACCTTCTTCCGAGACAATGTCACTTTCATTAAGAAAATTGATGGAAAATTACGCACTTGCACCCATGTACATATATAAATCCATATATAGATACATATACATACGCATGTGTGTGAGCGTTTTGGCATGCATATTTATGTTTTTTTTTTGTTTTTTTTTTTGGTCTTTAATGTCTTTGATGCCTTTTTCTTCGAGCGATCATTTGAGCACAGCTGTCTAAGCACTGGGTTCTAACAATCAGCACTTGAGATCAGCAATGCGCGGGACACTTGAACTTGCCCTAAAGTTCTCCTCCTCAATTGATTGTCGAACAAAAGTGTCGATTAGTAATCCACAACTTGGAATTTAAACGGACTAAGTGCACTTTTCGTATATTGGCAAAGACAGGTGTGCGTATTATTGAGTGGGGATTGAGTGTTGCTTAGATACATATGTGCATGTATTGTTCTATAAGCAAGCAAACAGGTAGAGTAGAAGGTGAATAAAAAATGAAAAATTACAAAAATTAAAAACATTAAATTAAATTAAATTAAAATAAATTAAATAAGACAAACCAAAACAATGAGAAAATAAGGTAAAACTAAATTAAATAAGTTAAATTAAATTGCGAAAAAATAAAAATATTATAAAAACTTAAACTAAATTTACAACAATCTAAACGTCACCAAAAACAAAATATAATTTCAATAAATTCAGATAAATTAAGTAAAAAAATTAAATGGAATAAAACAATTTATATCAAGGAAAATATAAACTAAAATTAAATTAAATAAAAGATATGTAAGAATATATAAAAAATATTACAGTTAACAATTTCCAACAAAAAAAAAAACATTTAAATGGATTGAAATAAAATAAAACAAAATAAGAGCAAATTAAATTAAATTAAAAAATAATAAGTTAAAATAAATATATATATAATATTAAGTAAAAAATAAGACAATATGCAATTAAATTTAGTAACATTAGAAAATATTAAATAATAAAAAAAAATCAGAAAATAATTAAAAAGGTATAAAAAAAATTAAAAGGTAAAAAAATCATAAAATAATTAAAAAGGTATAACATTAAACACACGTCATTGAATTATATTAAAATAAATTTCATTGAAATAAGCTGAAATAAAATAATATAACATAAATAAACATAAAATAAGATAAATAGAAAATTAAAAATACAAAATAAAATTAAATGGTATATATATTTTAAATTAAAATAAAATAAGATATAACTTAAAAAAAAAAAAATTAAATAAAATAAAAAAAAAGAAAAATTAAAATAAAAATAAGAAAATTAAATTAAACTAAAATTAAAATAAATTACTATAAAAAAAGTGAAAAAATAAAATTAAAATAAATTTAATTAACATAAAAAATAATTTGATTAAGAAAAGTTAGGCCAAATACAAAAAATCAAATAAAATAAAATACAAAAATACAAATTAAAATAAGATAAATAGAAAACCAAAAATACAAAATAAAATTAAATTGTATATATATTTTAAATTAAAATTAAATAAGATATAAATTTAAAAAAAATAAAAAAAAAATAAAATAAGAAAAATTAAAATAAAAATAAGAAAATTAAATTAAACTAAAATTAAAATAAATTACTATAAAATAAAGTGAAAATAATGAAATTAAAATTAATTTAATTAATTTAAAAAATATACATAAAAAATAATTTGATTAATAAAAAGAGTAAAAAAAAAATTATAGATAAGTTTAATAAATTAAATATGAATTAAAATATATGAAACATTATTAATTAATTATATATAATAAAATATTATATAATAAAATAAAAAATATAATAATTTATATTTGTATTGAATGAATATAACAAACTAAATATATCAGTATATAAAAGTATATCAAATAAGATAAAATAAAATTTAATTATGAACTAAATTTCCAGTAATAAAATGAAATATCTTAGAATAAAGAAAATATATAAAATAAATTAAATCAAAATAAAGTAAAGCAAAAATAATAAAATTTGACTGAAAAAAAATCTATTTTAATATAATAAACAAAATAAAACTAAACAAAATTGGGTAAAAAATTTTAATAACATGAAACGCATTACTAAATATAATAAAAATTAAAAAATATTAAATAAAAATAAAAATTAGAATAAAACAAAAATATAAGTTAAAAATTTAAATTAAGCTAAAAATTAATATATTAATATAAAATGAAATGGAAAAAATTTAATAAAACCTAATTTAATTAAAAAATAAAGAAAATAATGTGTATGTAATAAAATCAAACTAAATTAATTTTATTAAAAAAAAAATAAAGTGAAGTAAAATAAAATAGTAGGACAAAAAATTAATATGTAAATAAATTATGCGAACCAAATAAAAATACTAAATTAAAAGAAAAAATGAAATCAAAATCATAAAATAATAAAAAATGAATTAAAAAATTTTAAACACAACGAAACAAAACAAATTTTCCGGCCAAACATTTCTCACAGTGTAACGAATTCGGAGAGAAGTGTGCTAGAAATTTCTCAGAGAATCAAGTGTACGTTGGCAGATTACCAGCAACCACCACGATGTGTTCTCACTGCACACTCATCAAGTGAGTACTTGCATACATATGTATGTACAGCTCAAAGTACATAGTCACACAGGGGAAAATCAACAAAAGGGAACAAATAGGAAAAGTGTATTGCGGCAATGCAATTCTAATAAGAATCTAACAAATGCATATAAACGTATTTATCTATGTATATTTGCTTGTATTTTTGCATGTGATTTGCTCATTTTTCATTACTGCCTTTACAATGCGCTCTTTCGACTTTTCACTGCTACGAAAATGCCAACTCTCGTCACCCTACCATATTGCCGAGCGCGCGGCTGCAATCGGATAAAGTCATTTTGTTGGATTTTCTATAAAATACAACCACACCACCGTGTACCGTTCATTCGGAGTCGAACTCTTGAACAGATAAGAACAAAAACCGGAAAATAGCAAAAGTGTAAAGCAAAACAAAACGTAGTGAATGCCAATAAATATATATATATATACATATATTTTAGTATATGAAAAGCGCTTTATATTATATACATACAATAAATAGAACATTTGCGAGTATAAAAGCAACAAAAAGACATTTTGTAGTAAATTTCTAGCGTGTAAAAGTGCAATTGCATACATATATATCTGAAAGAATAGAAACGAAGTGCATTGTGTTTCGTCATTGGAAAAGTAAAGTGAAACGAAGTCATTGGAAACTTCTAGAAGGCACTCCACGCAACTACAACAGCAACACCAACAATAATACCAAAGTTAAGTGACTTCGCCGCAGTGAAGTGCCTTTTGCAGTTAGATCAATAATTTTCTACTCTATAATTCAAACTCGATTTGCATAAATCAAACCCAACAATCGAGATGGCTTTTATGATGCCCGTCATGAAGAACAACTACGACATCTACAAGGACAGTCGTTCGCGCAAAACATCAGAATGCTCTACGACCAGCTCGAATGGTGGCGCACCCACGTTGTCATCCGCCATGGGTGTGCCGGCCAATGCCCGCGTACGCAAAGTATCTGAATGCAAGTCGGAGAGTTTCGCCACCTCACCTTCGCACACCTATCGCATGCAGATGCAACGTTGTCAATCATCACGCGCCTTTCCTCGCAACGCATCGCGTACTTCACACTCTTCGGCGGCAGGCGCACTCTCGCCAACGCGTTCCTTTAGCCAATCCTCCAGTCCGCCCAAGACCATAAACACAGTGGAGAGCCAAAATGATATTACGAAATTTCATTTGCGACTTGTTGACAAACTGCGTAAGTCCTTTCGCAAGGACAGCGCCAAACGGTCATGAGAACGCGATAGTGTTCTACCACACAGCAACAGTAGCAGCAGCAGCAGCTATCCAAATGACGATGGCAGCACAACAAAAGCAGAAAACTATAATCTTAATTATAATAGGGAAACGCAGCAACATCATCAGCAGCAGCAGCTGCTTTCACTGGTCAACAGTCCGGAAAGTAGAGCGAGCAGACGTCAATCGACCGTATGTGATGTTGTCTGCGCGTCGGCGGATACCGCCACCCCAAAACAGCAGACTGATGATAATATCATTATCATCGCAGCAGATGCCATTGAAGATGCAGAAGATTGGCCGAAATTCGAGGATAACAACAGCAGCACGCCGATGCCGAGTTCACTGGCCGCGCACTTGGGTCGGCGCATTACAGCGCCACTAACGCGTGCCAATCTCAAGCGTTGCCGCAAAAAGTTTGCCAAAATGCAACTCAGCCCTGCCGCAACGCAGCACTCCAACAGCGCTCAAATGGATGCAATATCTACCAATGAATTGTACTCAAGCTCGGATGGGTCTAGTTTGTTTGGCGGCGGTGGTGATAGGCGCCAATTACTCGCTTTCAAGAAGTTGCGTGTCAAAAATACGGCAACAACAATTAGTGAAACAGTTGGTGCGACGGATGCAGAGCAACCAAATCATACGGAAGTGAATAGCCGTGGACGCAAGTCTAAAAAACGTCTACATTTCCTTCGTCGTTCAACTTCCCGCTTCAGCTCAAAGAGTGCGCCAGGTTAAGGCGTTTTCAAGCAGTGTAGGACGCGTAAAGGCTTTGTGTGTGCTTTCAGCTATATGCATACATAGATACATGTACAATATACATTTTGGGCTTCGTGTGGCAATAAAAATGTTGGCTTTCGATGTTTGATGTGCTTTGCTTTCTTCGAGCTCAGCGCGGCCGTAGTACGGCGAACGGTGTTGTGCGCTCAAGGTCCGACCGCGGCGCGCAACGCGTCGTCTGCCAGCAGCAACGATTTCAAGGTTGTGAGCGCGACGGCAATTGAATAGTTGTAAAAATGGCGAGATGAGTAAGGGTCGCAGCGTCAAAGCGGCGGCCGAGTTGGCAAGGAGCCCAAAGTACTATATGCAGCAAAGGAAGGTAGATGTGCCGCGTTAAAAGCTAAATCTGGGCATTGTAGTGACGGTGACAGCAATTTGAGAATGCGCTTGCATACAAGCATGCATACATACGTAAACTTGCGGAATTTCAACGGGCAGCGGAGTTAGGCAATAAAATTAGGCTATTTTTGGACTCAACCGATTTTTGGTGAAAGAAAATATAATTTTTTTAACAGCACTATTTTTTTATAAAAAGAAACTTTTCGTAAATACATATGTACTTATTTGGCGTGTGATAGTTTTGAAAATAATTTTTACAGAAAATTAATTAAATAATTTGTAATGAAATTTTTACCGTGTGATACAGTAGAGAAATACTTAACAAAAATACTGGTTGTGCTACGAAAAAACAGCGAATAATAATTTACAGTTTTTAAAAAGCAAAAATTCATTACCCAAAAAAGTCAGTAAGCTTGAGCGGCGCGTAGTTAAATAAATGCTGCAAAAACAGTTTCAAAACACGATTTTCAGGAAAAAGAAAAACCAACAAATGCTTCCAGAAATTGTAGAAAAATATATAAGAAAACTATGTATACAACTTTGAAACTGCCATTTTCGAATTGCGCTGTGTGAGAAAAGTTAAACGAAAGTTTTAAATTATTTTTTTTACATAAAAAAAAATAAATAAAAAAAATTAGCAAACCAAACTTGAGCTACCCAAATCAAGCGGTAAAAAGTATAAAATATACATAAAGAAGCCACGAAAGTACAACACACGTCGTTAGGGCGGTCCATTTATGACCGGAAATAAATAGTTAATGGCATACAATAGTAATAATTATTTTTCTTCTTCTTTTAAATAGTTGCTAATTAAATAAATAATATCAAAAAACAACAAAATGGACTTGTCAAGTATAACTTAAAAGTTTTCTGCTTTATTAAATTAATAATAAATGTTATTTCTGCTATAAAAAATATGTTGAATAATATTTATTTTTTATATAAATTGTATATAAATGCAAAACTATATATATATATATTAAATAATCTAGATGTAGCTGCTTAAAATAAGTATTTGAAATCGAAAAATAAATTGCTTTAACTTATACAAGCTATACATGTCTATTTTAAATAATTAAAATATATTAAATAATTTGTATATTAAATAATAGTTTATAAGTATTTGTTAAAAAAAAACATGCAGTATATGAAAAAAATTAATAAAGAGATATTTAGATCGAAAAATTAATTTTGCGTTTTTTTATTTATTTATTAAATTTTTTTTATTGACTAAAATAATCTATTGTTTGTCAACTTTTTACAGCTAATGCTCAAAAAATAGTTCAAAAATCTCTAACGACTCAGAAAGCATATTTTCAGCGCCAAATGTTAATCACAATTAATTAAATTGTGTTCACATTAAAATACAATTTATTAATTTCGAACAATTTTCAGTCCAGAAAATTCGAATTCCATTGAGTTTTTTGGAAAAAACAAAGATTCATAATTCAATGTGAGATCACTACCTATGATTGGTTCATAAAATTAATTTTCTCGACGTTGCTGTTAAATTTCAATTAATTTGCTGCCAAAAACAGAAAATTTCTGGGAACACAACGCATATATCATATATCATGAAACCACTTTAAAGATGATAAAAAAATTAATTGCGTTCCCACTAAAATACCAATTATAAATTTAGAGCAATTTTTCAGGTCCAGAAGTTCGAATTTCAAGATTTTATGATAAAAACAATAGTTTTTTGTTTCCACAAAATTGGTGTTTATTAATTCCAAACCTTTGTTTTTGATTTTGTAGAAAAAAAAATTATATTATATTTTTTGACGATTTCTAAATTCTTAATTTACAAAAAAAAAGAATTTTATTGTGGTTTTTACGAAAAAAAAAATTAAATTAAATTCTTACAACATTTTTGATTAATTTTTCTCATTTTTTATTTATTTTTTGTTAAATCACAATTTATTAATACAAATAAGTATACATCATATACTTATAGTAAATAATAAAAAATAAAAAAAGTTTTGTAGCAGTTTTTTTTCCTCAAAAAGTGGAGTTATGTTCTTTAAGCTGTGTCAACTAAATATAAATTATATCTTCGAAAGTGGTAATTAACTGTCAATGACACTGATTTGGATTTCACTTTCTATGGAAGCTTTAATTAATATTTGTCTAACTTCGTCCCTATACATATATACCCATATATATATATGTATGTATGTAAGATAAATTACAAAAAATAAGTAAACAAAATGAAAAATTTTTCTAGCGTTTATTTAAATCATGCTTAGTCAGCCTTGGAACATTTTTTTTATGCCTGTTGTCCTTCACCTACTTTCGCTAGCGTTACCCTCTATGCCTTGAGGACTTTCACAGACTTTCATTTATGACACATACAAACACCATATGTATGTAATGTACATGCAATTTGAAACTTGTCATACAAAACAAAAATCAACTTTTTTTTTTAGAAATTTAATGCATATGGATTTACTTGGGATAATTGAGGCGAAATGAAAAGTAGTAGAAAACAACTCAGAGGGAATAGTAAGTAGTATATACATACATATGTATGTATGTATACAAATTCATTTTATATAAAAGTTTAATGTACATTCATGTGATACATGATTACCGCAATGAAATTGTAAACTGTTCAGGAAAATACTAGTTTACTACCAGTTTGAAATCGCACTAGTACGAAAAATACTTGAAATAGTTTGAAACCAACATATTTTTGATATTGATAAGTATTATTGCATATTTAAACATATAAAAATCTATTTTTGATACAAAATTTAGTTAGTATCCTTCTTATCCCGTTTTAACTACTTTACATAAAATGTTTTATTTAAAAAAATATGATTAAAAATTAAACCACTAATTTTCTGGTCTGTCTTAAACTAGGGACTAGTATATTTTTGAGGAATATTTTTAAATCGATTAATTAAAAGTATTTTGTTGCATATTTGAAGAGGAAAACATTTTTTTATTTCAAAATCGTACTAGTGTATTTTTGGTCTCTTTTTAACTAGTACAATATACATATGTACATATTTATGTAATTTTAAATGTCATATTAACATTTTTTAATAAAAAAATATTTAATTTGAATAAACAAAAAATTTTATTTTATTTAAAATTAAACTAACTTTTTGATCTGTCTTGAACTAGTATGAGACTAGTACATATTTTTTGTCCGTTGTTTTAAAATTGATTATTAAAAAGCATTTTATGGCTCATTTTAAAATACCGGGCTTTTTTTTTAGCTCAAAATCGAACTAGTGACTTTTTAGTCCTTTTGGAAGTAGTATGCAACTGAGCTAGATTGAAAAATGTATTAATAACTAATATTATGCCATATCTTTAAAATAATTTTTAAGCAACTAAAAAATAATTTTACCACAAAATTGAACTGATAATATTTAGTTTACTAGTTGAGCTGTAACTAGTTTGAGAAGTAGTATATCTATATACATATGTATGTATGTATTGCTAATCGATAAGAAAAATTTATTATTATTGGTATACTTTGTTTAAGCAAACAAACGACTAAATAAGCGAAGTAGTGTCACTTTAGCACTTTTTTGAACTAGTATGCGAACAGTAAATTTTTGTTTAAAATCTGACAATTGGCATCCCGTTAGAAATGTCAATTTTTTTACATAGTCAAATAATTGCGTTGGCTCTTTCTGCTAGCTGCGAAGTAGTTTTTCATTACATACATACATATATACATATATATATATATATATATATATATATAGTTCACTACAAGGATATAGTGCATGCATTATATATATTTACATACAATCATTTGTACATATGTACGCGTAGTATGCCTGGTATGAGTTGTAAACATCAGAAAATAATGCATAAGGAATTTCAAAAAATTCAATTGATTTAAACGAAACATACATACATACATACATGCATATGCATATATGTATGCAAAGGCATACATACAGCTGTTGTTACATAAAAGTAAATATCTATTTGCCTAAATGAGTTGTCACAATTTCTTAAGTTTTCTCATATAAATCATTCGAATTGTCAACACTCACATCAAAGGTACATACATATGTTAATGTATATA